TGTAACTGTCCTCGAAGGCATGACTTTTATCGAGACTAGCCTGCGCGGAGAGCATTCGCGACACACTCATTCGAAATCTTTCCCCGAGATTTCCTGACCGATGAGACAGCTCCACTCAGAGGGGGTGTCACGAAATTTCCCCGCATGTTCCTCTGCAGACGGTTCTCGGTGAAATCGTAGACATTCCAGCGCAGATAAACTCTGAATGGTTTATTTATGGCCAAGTCCAGCGTCTGAAGATAACCTGTCATGCCAGCTGGAATCATGATCTGATCAACGCCTCTACTCGCGAGTTTCTCCATGTCTCGGGACAATTATATGGTACTTATCGCTATTCCTGAGGTGGAATACCCACAATTTGGACTCGCGGACCGAAGGGCTTACTTTCGGGGTAGGGCTTATTCTAGCGATGAGCCCGGAAATTCGTGTGGGGCTTATTCTCGGGGTAGGACTTATATTCGGGGAAACACGGTACTAGTAGTTATATACACATTTCAACTAATTAGCCGGTTTCCCCGACTCGATCACCATACGGATTGTTCGTATGTGACATTCCCCCGGGCCGGCGCCGCCGCCGGCAGCGTCTTCCCGGTTGGTGACTTTCATGTACATTCTTGATACTTCGGGAACATCTCCAAATGTCGGTGCGCGCGAAATCGACCGTCGAATCGGGAGTCTCGAAGATCGTGGAAGATCCTGAGTCCGATGATTCCGTCCTCGACGATGATGTGTAGGGACGTTCTCCCACTCCAGTTCCCTCTCGTGTGATGGCGCTGCCGCCGCTGTCCCCTGAGGAAGCTGCTCCCGAGAAGAAGACTGAAAATGAGTCGACTCTCGGTAACGACGTGAGAGTTGATGTCTCGAAATCGTCGCAGTCCGTGGGAAGTTGTATCCAGTAGAGCGTTCGTGAAAGGACCTGAGAGTGAAGCGAACGACGAACCCGTTGCGAGAGCTGAAGTTGAGGAAAAGTTTGAGTCGGAGGGGTCAGTTGCTGGATCCAGTGGAGATATGACGTTGAAACGTCGCACTTCCGCTCCCCGGTTTCATTCCGTGGGTACCCCGGAAGGGTCACGCTCTCGCACCGAGGTCCCTCCCCCGCGAAGATGTGGTTCTGCGCATAACGAAGGTTGTGAAGGGTTCCGCTGGAGAGCGTTGGGTAAGGTTGAATCCTGTGTGTCGTGAGGAGTCTCACCCTGTTCCCGTGCGGAGCGCGTCGTCGAGCCAGCAGCTGGCCGAAAGTTATGCTCGGTAAGCGCGTCGCCCCCGTACTCGGGATGTCTCCAAAAATCTGGTGTGGCTGCGTGTTTCGCGTAACGAAACGATGGTTTTCTTTGTTCTCCGTGGTAACCGTTTCCGCTGCTTTCCAGCTCAGCTTCTCCGGACCTTCGTCGTATAGTTGAGGAACTCTAGCATGAACTCTAGGTCCGTCGCTAACGGACCCGTGAGTTTTCGCTTCTCTAATTTCTTGATAAGAGATGCTTGCCATAGGAGCTCCCCAGCTTTGAGTGAAACTTGTTCCCACTTCGATCGCGATATCACCTCCCTATACTGTGGGTTTCTTCCTTTTCCTGCTTGGCGAGCAATGAGGCCCCGGCTCTGTGAGCCAAGGAGAGAGCCGGCCAAACACCTCACGCGAATTCATGCCGCATGCATGCGGTGATTGATGGGGTTCCGCAATGGATGGGACAATGGATGGGAATACGGGTCCATGTCTACATGCACCGGGAAGCCTAACTCGACAGCTGGAAAGACTGGTTGCATGGATAGCGCGTGCCTCACTCTGGTCGCTGAATGTAAGCTAGATTGCGCGGGTTCGTCCATAAGTGACGTGAGTGCCCATAAGTCCAAACGTGAAGGAGTCGTCGTGACCCGACCGGGAGCGATCTCGGAAGGCACAAACCTAGAGCCCAGAGCGCTTACCCCCGTGCCCCGTCTCTAGAGCAAATTAGCGGATTGAGAGACATGAGCCTGCGAAATCGATCGCTCCCGTACTTTGGGAAATATGAACATTCGCCATCATATGGTCGCGGCGACTATGCGACGATGTCCATGCTCGTTCAGTCAGACAGAAGTACAGTGTTTTCTCTTACAAGGAATTTCCCGTACCGAAAACACGATTTTCCCTATTCCTTACATCAGTTGAGTTGAGATATGTTCTGACCAAGAATACGGAAATCTAAATATAAATGTAGAGTGTATGCCCAGTAGCTTCACCGACCGATAAGAGGAGATGCGTGGGTTGGAGTCCGAATGTCGGCGATCGGAACCGTGTTGTCGTGCTTGATTCCATAGGAAAAGGGAGTCAGATAGATCAAGAATGCCTATGACTCCATTCCCCGGCCCGAAAGCCTATGCCCCACGTGGACATGCGCGGCTTCTCGGGGACAAAGCTACCCTCTCTTCTCGTGTGATTTCCCTCACATAATAAAGATCATCATCTGATTGGTTCAAGATTTCTGCGGTCAACCCGCTGGGCGACCATTCATATGCGGTATCATTTTTTCCGACGCGAGTAGAAAAACCCTGTTCAGGGCGTTCCATTCAAGGCAGTGATAGCAAATTCGTATTCCGGTTCGGATTTTCGGCCATATCGTCCTCATCGTTTCTGATGCACTTCAATACTCGCCGCATTTATCCACCCAATGGATTCATTCCGTTTTCGCTGCCCCTATCCGAGGGGACACGAACGCGCTGGTTCCTATGCTCCCCCTCTGGTTTTCTTCTCGAACATACTGCTCGTGAAAACGGACAGTAAATCGAGAACATCCGAGCTCCAGCGACACGGTCCTCTGGACACGCACATTATCATCAACGATCCCCTGGTCGAAAAATACACGGCATCGAAAACATAGTTCCGGGGGAATTTCAAGCGAAAAAACCTCAGATGGCTTCTGTCGTGAAAATCCGGAATCGTTGGTTGATTGATTCGCAGAAAAAGAGGGGATACGCACACAGGGATTCCGGGTAGAACAACGGTATTGGACGGTACTTCTTCCTGATGTTGGAGCTCCTTATATACCTTTCGGTCGAGGGAGGGACCTACAAGCGTACTTATCTAAGAGCAGACCTGTGTCTGTCTCAATGATTCTATCTGGGGGTTCTTGTGATTCTGGAGTACAGGGGTTAGAGCGAGTGCACGGGACGGAGGGAGTGGACGGTGTGTTTCAAAGCTTGGCTTCTGATGCGGCCAGAGTCCGAGGTTTCGTCGATTGATCAGATTGAAGCATCGATTGATGCGGGGTTGTATCTAGAAGGGGATTGAGGTTCATCATCTCCACCGTCGTTCATTCAAACCGGTTGGTTTCCGCTAAAATTTCATGCTGAAGTTGCGGGTTAGATTCGGCGAACTCGGAGACGGCTACAACCCCGCATCAATGGATGCGTCACTCTGATCAATCGACGAAACCTCGGACCCTGGCCGCATCAGCAACCAAGCTTTGAACCAAACCGTTCACTCCCTCCGTCCCGTACACTCTCTCTAACCCCTGTACTCCAGAATCACAAGATCCCCCGAATAGAATCAATTAGATGGACACGGGTCTACCCTTACATAAGTACTCTTGTAGGTCCCTCTCTCGACCGAAAGGTATATAAGGAGCTCCAACCTCCTCAGAATATAGTACCGTCCGATAGTTGTTGTTCTATCCAAAATCCCTGTGTGTGTATTCCCTTTTTTCCCGCGAGTCAATCAAGCAACGTTTTCGACTTTTCACGACAGAAGTCGTCTGAGGTTTTTTCGCTTGAAATTCCCTCAGAAGTATGCTTTCGATGCCGGGTATTTTTCGACCAGGGGATCGTTGATGATGATGTGCGTGTGTTCAGGCGTGAGTCGATAAACCAGAGGACCGTGTCGCTGGAACTGTGGTCACGAGTGCAACGTGTTACGCATACAACGTGACCGTGAGAGGCGGAAAAAAAACATAAACCGGAAATCAAGGTGGACATGGAGTCGGTGCAAACTTATGTTTTTGAGCGTGATCCAAGATTGAAAACATGGATTGTGGCGCAGCCTCTGTCACTCGTCAGCATCGTTGGACTGTACCTTTGCGTCGTGTGTAGTTGGGGGCCGAGATTCATGCGAGACAGAAGACCCTTCTCTCTGACTGGCGCGACCCGCATATACAACCTCCTCCAAATCCTGGCATCGATGGCGTTCGCAGTGAAAATTGCGCATCATTTTTACTTCCGGATGGGTCAACCGTTTCTATGCTCACCTCCAGACCGACGCGAGGACAGCCTTACGCTCGAGCTGCTCGACATAACATTTTATTACTGGTGTCTACGGGTGATCGACTTCCTGGATACCGTGTTCTTCATATTACGCAAAAAACAACGTCAAATTACGTTCCTCCACATTTTTCATCACGTGATGGTTGTATGTGTTTCTTGGGCATCAGCGATATATGGCTTGACAAATCTAGTCATCTTTACGCTGTGTTTGAATTCCTGTGTACACGCCATAATGTACGCATACTACTTCTTGTCAACGCTCGGACCAGCAGTGCAGAAGCATCTCTGGTGGAAAAAACATCTGACCAAGGTAATGATCTAGACTAGTCTGATCATTTTTCGACTTGCTAGCTTGTAGCCACCATAGGGTCTGCACATCCCGTCGGGTTAGACGGCTCTCCGTATACCGGACGCGGTCGGCACGACGGAGGAGAAAATCTCAGCTCGTTGGGCCTCTATTCCTTATTCTTCTAATTAATTTCGTTTGATCGGATAAGGATATTTCTCTTTTGAACTTACAGGTCCAGATAGTCCAGTTCGTGTTGATGATCGCTCACCTCTCGGTCCCAATGTTCCGAAATTGCGGTTACCCATCATCAATCATCTACACTTGGCAGGCGACTATCGGGGCGATTCTTATACTTTTTCTGAACTTCTACATCCGAAGTTACAGTAATGTTGTTAAACGAAAGGCCGCTGGTTCCTCCCTTAAGGGAAATTGATCGAAGTTACCTACCGACTTGTCAGTGAAACAACGAGTCGAAACGCTCGACCTCATTGTATGTTGTTTCTATGCGTATACACATCGGCGGATCGGCTCCAATATACTGTCCGTTTCAACGAGCAGTATGATGCAAAGAGGAATCAATAAAAAGAACTGTGATTTCAGACGTTGTACTCTAGTCCAGAGCTGGCTTTGATCGAACTGAGTGGTTATCAATTGATACATCATTGGAGCCGTGAAGGCGCTTACGTTCTCAGCTTGAAGAGGAAGATTCAAGATTGCTCCAACCTGATCGGCCATCGACTCAAATTGAATTATTTCCCGTGATGTCGCTCCTGCTCCCCTCTCGGGCAAACAAACGGGTCGCGGTGTCACTGGCGCACAAAACACATTCACGCTCCTCGTTCCGCGAATTTCCGTGATTCTCCGTCACCTGGCCAGAGACCTCGTCGACAAATAATCGAGTCGTCGGTCAACAACACTCTGACCTATCATCACAGCCAGGAATCCCTCGACGACGGGCCTCGATCGGACTGCGTTCAGCACGCATATGTCGAAATTTTCCCTCATCCAGCCGAATGGATGGATGGACCGAACATTGGCTTCAAACCACGAAACAATGCATAAGGACACCGCACAGTCATCATCGAACGCAGGGGGGGGGGGACCGAATGCTCGAACACAGTTCGACGACGTCTAACGTGCTGGGACTCGGCGTCTCATACTTCCGCCGGATTTTCTCGAAAATTTTCTCATCGATTTTCGGAGCAGAGCGGCCTGCCAGCAATTCATGTCAGGAATATCGCAATTAATTTCCATCGGATGAATTTTACCATGGAACCAAACATCGCTCAGAAAATTCGGAGGCGCGCTTATTTTTGTACTCGAGTGAGTCCGCGACGAGAGGAGATTGAGGCGATCCGAATTGAGAGGAAATCAATTTACTGCTTGCGTGCTCCCGCCTTATGCCGCGACGTATTTGCGGACAACGTCAGGTTCGGTAGTGCCTAGAGCAGTGGCTGTCGTCCCCGGTTCGCTGGCCGCTCAGCTTGGTCTAATTCGTGCTTCTGGTCAGCAGGCCGGTCGGCACGGCCGACGACGGTCACTGTTTCAGGTTGCGTGCGAAGGAAGGTTAATTGCGACTACTGCATACCTCAGGACCGTCATATCGAAGTGAGAATCAGGAAATTGACTTTTTTCCTCGAGGTGCGGCAAAGGCGCGTTCCCCGGTCAGGAACAGAGAGATGCGAAAGTGCGAGGCCGTTATCGAAATGAGAGGAAAATTCTTCTTGGATAGTAAACCTCGAGGATGAGGTTCGAAATTCCCGAAGGGAATCGATCTGAATGTTCCACAGTTGGCTCCCGGACAGACTCACCTTCATCCAATCGGCAGAAATAGGGAGGAATCGGACGTAGAGTCAAGCATAAAATAGAAAGATGCTCGGGACCGAGGTACAGACACGAGAAATGAGCGCTAGGAACGATCGACGGTGTCGTCGGTCGGGTGGCGATGATCGACGATAAATCAAATTACCCCGATTGAGGTTATTCGTTCGTTTGGTGGATCGCCAATCCAGCCGTCTTTCAGTCGTTGGATCCGTCCGTCTTGATCTCTGTCCGCAGACCGAAAATTACCAATAGGTACCCTTTTCTGCCAAGGGTACGAATAACAGACACGGGAAGGAGCTCGTGGAAGGATGTCATCGCTCGTTTTCAACATCATCGTCTCCCTTGAATGCAGTCACGCGTCTCCGTGGAACACGGATCTGCGAGAGCCATCGATTCCGGGACGCGGCCCGCTTTTGATTCTTGGAACTTCGCTTAACTTCCCCCGTGCGAGCTCTCTCTCGGGTGATTTTCGGGAGACCTATCAAAGTCTTCGCCGCTGGAACAGCGAACCCCCGAGTTTTCTTGGCCGCTCTTGGAGCGTGTCACCGTCGTGGCTACGATCAGCTCGATC